GGCGTCAAAAGCCTCTGCACGCAGGTCAATAAACAGGGTCCAGCTTCAGTGAACCCCCAATGGTAATTCATTCCTTATTCTGACAAGATAAAAGAATTGTGAAAAATTCGCAGGGCATCAAAAACCTGGAGTGTTTCAGCAATTTCTCTGTGGAACACAAAGCTTTTTGGAGTCCAGAGCACAATATAAAGCCTTTTTTTTTTTTTTTAATAAAATTGAAAAAACTACTTTAGCACCCAAGCCATCAAGTGAAAACAGTTACATTTACTACAGCAAACCAGGTAAAGTAAGTAATGGCATCTTTCCTGCAGGAGCTTTTTAAACATAACAATAGAAAAGCCAAGTTAAAATCACTGAATAATTTGGGTTGGAAGGGACCTCGTGGGAGCATATCTAGTCCAATCCCCTACCCGTGGCAGGGCTAGCTTTGATGTTAGCTCAGATTACGCCTTTATTTTGGCTAATTTATGTACATATAAAACCATACACATACCTATATGCTGTATACCTATAAAACCCAGCAATGTTTTCTTCAGTTCATACCTTGGATGACTTTGAAAATACAATGTGCTGCATAGGTTTACTTACAAACATTACTTGGAAGGGTTATTTCAGAGCATGTTATTTTTCTCCATATTCTTTCCAGGTAATTGGAATTTCAAAATCACAAATGCAAATTTTGGGGTCCTAGAAAATGCTCCCTTGAAATCCTTTTACAGACCCTTAAAAATAACCTGGGATCTGAGGGAAAACCAATCTGCAAAGAATTCAGAGCCCATAGTCATAAACCTTTGCATTTTCATTATTTTAGGGAAAGATAATACTGCCTCAGATAATTAAACATTAATATCTTAACCATCATCTCTAAAGCAGTGAAGGAGTCAGATAAAGGCATATGTCTTTAAAAACATGATTTAGGTGAGAGCATAAACTGGAGTAAGTTGTGGAGAGAACTCATGGCCTTAGCTTTAACCTCCAAATAATTTTTTGAGGCAAAAATCTATCCCTTGCTTTGGTCATAATATGCTGTGCATTCCATATTGTTTAAAATACATAAAAATCACGTGTGGAATAGAGATAAGCAAGAACTGTTCATTTTCAGAAAGGAGTGCCAACATTCACTTGCTAATTGCCATGCAGCCCTAGTTCAAGGTCTGCTTTCAGAAATGCTTCCTTGCCACTCCTGCTCCTGTCCTGCACCTGAGCAGCAAAGCTCACCCAGCCTTGCTGCTCTCTGACACAGTCACTTTAGTGCCCAAATGCTTATTTGGTCTTCTCTTCCGTTTATTTCAAGGCAACTGCAGAGCCACCACTGTACTCTGGCACATCCTTCTAAGATTTATGCTTCTGCTTTGCTGTACTCTTTGTCTGCAGTCCCACTGATGTTAATTGTGTGTGGCTTAGTACGTCCCACCAGACCTGGCAGACTTTCACCTTTTATTCTAGACATTCTAGACATTTTCAGCAGAAGTGAAATCAGGTTAAGAAAATCGAGCCTGGTTAGCAGAGTTCTACTTTAAAGGCAGACAAAAAGGATTTTTTTGTACTCAGCTGGACTCCCCACAGCTCTAGTCCCAGCACTGCTGCTCAGACAGTTCCAACTCTTATAATACCTGTGCTTAGGCCAAATTTTCACCTAAACAGTATCTTATCCCCAGGAGGCAGCCACGGATACTTAGGGAATGATAATGACAGGACAGAGAGAGAGCCCCTTCCTGAACCTGTCTGCATTCATATTAAATAACAGTGCCTGAATTACTGTAACTCTTAGTTAGCTAGCCATAGCTCTCATTTGGCATGTACAAATGCTGAGGAAGACAATTTCTGAGTGAGAGAATTTATCATTTGAAATACAGACAGTCATACACAACAGACCTCTCTTGTGCTGCAGACATAAGCTCTGCATTGCAGAGGCAGAAGAAGAATTTGGCCCATATTTCCAAAAGGTTGTAGTTCTGGCTTTTGGTTCATGCTTTATTATCTATGAAAAAGAAAAGTAATTGCTCAATTTCTGGTTTCAATTATAATTAACGTTTGTTAATTATACATAGTATTTTTATAGCTTTGCCCACTGAAGGGTCTTACAATCCTATGCTTTCTACTTCAACTAGAAAAGTGTTAGCAACTCCACTTTAAGGGAGAACAATGAGGTGGCTGAAACAGCAGATGTGCTGAACACCCCACACTCCTCTGGGACCACTGGCTGAGGGCCATGACTGGCACTGGCAAGGAGGAGCTGGTCCAGGTTGCCAGACTCCCATCCTCTGCATTTCACATCATGGCAAGATTAAATAAAGAGTTATTATTTTCTTAATTAGGAATTGCTTTCATTGTCTGTTTTATTCTAGGCAAGCACAGTTTGCCAGGGGTCTTCAGGGAGCACCACCCACAAAGCACCAGGAGCCCCGTCTTCCCTCCCTGTGTCAGGTAAGGACAGCATCCCTGCTGAATCTGCAGCCTGGTGCCAAGGCCTTGCCACCACTGTCGTGTCTCATTAACACACAGTATAGTTAAATTCAAAGTGTGTCTGTGATTATGCAAGTGCTCTGAGTAAGTTATACCTGGAAAAACCTATTTTCATTATATGTTGCTTGGACCGTCCTTTGTTCAGCCTGTAGCACAATGGTATCCCAGCTAGTCCCTAGGCACTTAGATCCTACAAATTAGAGCTAACGACACACTGGTAGAGTTATTACAGAACCTACATGTAGGCAAGCCCAAAGCTCTTGCTAAAAATTGCAGGCAAGCCACATCAACCTCCTGCAGCTTGTGTGATGTTGCTCCTGATCAGCCTCCATGCTAACAAGCACTCTCCCCAGTTACCTCTGACACTCCTTTGCATTTAACTTTTTCCACTGCTGCAGCCAGACCTGTTATTTTTCCTTTTTAGAATTAATTTTACTGCTGTCATTTCCTGCCCTTTCTTGCTTCAGTATCCTGAAGCATATTAAGTCCCAAATGACATTTAAAAAACAAAACCAATGAAAACAACGTTTGTCCTAGCTCAATCATTCTTTGCAACTTCTAACTGCAAGAAAACTTTGTGCCAGTTCACATGCTGACAGAGTTCTGTCTCCAGTGGGATACTTGATTTTCCTTTTCATTGCACACTGTCAATATACTTCCAGCACAGTCTATAGCGTTAATTAGTGTCATTTCAAAAGACTGTTCAGACTGGCAGCATTGTTTTGATTCAGCAGGCCTTGGGGATCGAAATGGCTAGCCAGCTAAATGTACTAGAAATGTGGATATTTTCAGTCACAAAGATAGTCTAAAAAATGTTTTTTGAGAGCTTTGAATGATAGAGAATTATTTTTTGATGCCTCACTGGTATTAGTGCTTCTTAGGTACAAGGATTATTGGGCTACTCTTGGGGACAGAGGAACAAGGTGCAGGGAGGTAATGGAAGCTGTATGATCACAACTGCCCCATCTCCCCTCAACCTCCCATGTACAACTGTGCCTACTCTGATATGTAACGCTGGGCAATTTGGCGGATGGATTTCCTGAAATCCCACCTAATCCTATGTTATTTCCCCTCTTGCTTTCAGAGCAGACTCCAATACTGTCAGCTTTTACTCAGATTGCAGCTGAGGGCTGGGAGGTTCATTGGAGCCAGGAAGTGTTTGGCCTCTGACTTTGGTCGGTAGTATCTAAACCACCTAAAAAAACTCAGCAAACCTTTGATGTGCTGTTCCTTTTTCTTTTGAGAATGCTTAGCAGGGAACAATAGTTTGGCAGACAGAATCCTAGACTTAAACACAGAAGATTTAGACTGAAATGCTGTCACAGCCAGACTTCAAATGACTTTAAGACAAAATAGCTGTGCTTCAGTTGCTTCTCTGTGAACAATTATTTGCTGCCCCATAGAACTTGTAAGAATAAAATCCCCTACTGATTTTATACACTTTAATAATAAGTACAACAGTGTAGGCACTTAAATAGACCAGATTCATTTATTTTTGGTGAAAGTTTAATTGCAAAGTGCTGGGAACACATGAGTATGTCTAACTAGTAGCATGACCGCAGCAGTATTGAGGATGAAGTATGTTTTCCAGTATGAGGATGGGAAACAAAGAAAAGTGGAAAACACCTTGTAAAGAAAAGGAAGAGGAAAAAGGACAAATGAAAGCAGTGAATAGGTTGGAAATGAGAGATGGAGTATTCTCTGGGCTGCAGGGCAAAATTCAAATATTTTTAAATTCAAATATATCAGTCTGATGCATCAAATTTCATCATTCTTGCATAGGTCTTACAGACACCTTATGAATTTGTATGAAACAAGGTTAGCTGATGTCCTGAGAGAATTTTCACTTTACTAGAGAAATTACAGAAACCAGCTCTACACCTTTCCTGCTGCTGAACTACGAACAAACATCTGGCCGAAGATGTGGCTATGCTGCTGCTGCTGCTGCTGCGAAGCACTGACAGACCAAGTCAGGAGAGGCCCAAAGCTGCTCAGGCACAGTCTGAGTTGTGAGCATAACCTGTAGGTTTTTCTGAAATGAAGACCTAAGGACAGTGCTATTCATTGCTCTCTGTAGCTAGTGGTTTATAACTCTTTATTCTTCCATCTCTTTGTGTCACTAAGAGCACCACAGTATCTGGATCCCCAAGGAACACATGGGGTTACTAGTGTAAAAGCATGGATGTTTCACTGACCCTCACTGGATTTTGCTGAAGACAGAGTGAGAAAATCAGTGAGGCTTTTGAGTAACAAAAGCAGTCTCTTGCAACATGCCGACTTATGACTAAGAATCTTGTAAAACAATTTATGACTAACATTGTTTTGGCCAGGGCTCTGACAATCATACTGTAGTTGAAGTGGGAACCACACAGCCTCAGCCCACAGGCACAGCTGACATGACCAGAGTGCCACTGATGAGGGGGTACCAGTTCTGGTGCCGACCCACCCGGTGAGGAGCCTGGCCCCCCGCCCGCAGCCGGGGTGGGGGTATTTCTTTAATCTCGGAGGGGGCCGGGGCATGTGGGCAGGGTAAAATGGCGGCGCCGCCAGGTAGCGGCAGGAGATGGTTTCTGCCGGATGTCGCTGGGTGGGCAACTTGCCCCCGCCCCGCCGCTGGGCTGGGCTGGGTCAGTGTGGCGGGAGCAGAGGGGCAGCTGCAGTGAGCCGTCTCTTCCCCTCCTAGGGCCGGTGATTTCTCTCCAGCCGTGGTCGGTCGTCGAGTGAGGGGCTGGCCCAGCCTCCCCTGTGGCGGAGCGCGCGTTCGGGGGGTGTGCGCCTTGGGGGGGGCTCTGCTCTGAGGGAGGAAAGGAGCTCGGGGCGGTGGGGGTCTGGGGCACCGGCCGTGCCTTGGCGGGAGGCTGTGGGGATGTTCGATTTTATTTAGAGTTAATTAAGATAGCATGAACCAGTGCTCCTGAGCTGTGGTTGTGAAAGCTGGTTTGTGGTTGTGTTGTTTGCAGGGCCAGTTCAAAGACTGCTTTATTTGCAAGTTCATTTTAATTTGACTTCTCCCATATAATGTAGCAGGAGCGTATTTTTATATTTAAAATAATTATATTGTGCATTAACATCTGGAAAAGAGGTGCCAAAAGTTCATTTTGGCAGAGCCCGGTTCAGTGATTTCCCCTCAGACATGGACTCTGCCCATTCCGGAGCTGGTGGTTGTCCCAGTGCTTTGGGCCTTGGCCTGTGGCTGCACTCCCTGTTGTGAGGAACAAGCAAGCACAGCTAATGCTTCAGCGTGTTACCCTATAATGTACTATATCAAGTGGAGGGGTGATTTATCTAGACTTTAGAATCTCCTGCAGAGAGGCATGTCTCTTGTGAATCCAGCAAGCTTCATGTGCAGGTGGTAATAGGTGCTCCCGCTTGTCAGTACATTCCTCTCCTAAAGGACTTTTTGTCATTTAATCTGGAGTGTTCGTTGTTGAGATCTTTAATGCAGCAAGTGTTTCACTTTTTACTGTATAAAATAAAGAAATAGTAGAGAATTAGTTTCCCAAAATGGGTGCTTAAATATAGCTTCATAACCTGACTTAAAAATATTTGTTTGCCTGCCTGAATTAGTCTTTAAATCCATGCTTTTGTAGTTACCTGGCCTACAGCCACCTCTCATGTGAACATTTACATGATGGCAGAACCACTTCACATGAATGACAAACATAGGGAAGTTGTAGGTGGAGGTTAAAGCAGCAGAATCGTAGGTGCCAAGTTCCTGTTGAAAAGCTCTCAGTTTTGAGGCTGAGTTTCTGAAATATATAACAAAAGTTGGTATTTTGTGAACAAACAGTACAGGATATTTTTTTGACAAGTGTAGAAACAGTACAGAAAGTTTTAACTGCAGCACAAGTGCAATAAAAGAGAGACTTTGAAGTTTGACAGAGGTATCTTGACTTTGTTCTTCTGTAATTGTGTACATTCTAGATTATTGATAAACATCATCAGCATGAGTATGACTTACAAATACAGCTATCTCCTAATTATCCAAACTTGTGTGGGGTGGAGTGTCTTAAATAATTGAAAAACCAGGATAATTGGAGTACTGGGGAATTTGGCATAGATACTTGCAGTGAGAGTTGGAGTTCCCGCAGTAATGTTTCTTGCCTTCATCAGTGCTTCAGTACAGTCTGAGCCATGTTTTCTTTTACTTCAAATGGGGCTGGAGGTAAATCTTGATTCTGGGAGATCTGAGATAGCTTGGTATGCAGCCATCTTGGGTCTGGAGGGTTCATGAAATTTGATTTTATATTAGGCAAGAGTTTTAGTTTAAGCAAAGTTTACAAGATTAACTTGCTTCCAGGTGGGGGAAAAAAAGGCCATGTAAGCTTTATGTTGGCTCAGTAGAGAACTTGGGCTAATAAGCCTGCCAGACTGCAACAAGCTTTGAATGACATGTGGAGCCTACAACTGCAACAATATTTTGTAGTTAAATGAGTTGCCCACTTATAAAAACGTAGTTCCTAGTATGCAGGCTTAACTGAATGTTTGTTGTGGAAGAGTTGTTTCATAGAGAATTAACTCGCTGGAAAGACCACAAGGTTTATAAGGCATTTATTGGAAAGTCAAAATCTCTTGCTTCAGAGTATTTTGTTTATAAATGCTTGCTGATGTGACAAAACTATGCATAAGTGTTCAACAGTATTGAAAGAAACTTGCAGCTACTGTGAAATGTGAAATGGCCTATTGTGAATTTTTGCCCTATGGATATTGGAAATGATGGGGTTTTTTGTTACTGCTGAACGACTTTTGAAACAAATTTATGGACAGAGGACATTAAAGGCTTTTATCAAGTGATAAGCACAGAGCTGTGGAGCTGCTGCTTTAATAATACCATGTTGAATAAATGTAGTATCAGAGTGATAACAAGAAGTGACTTCTGGAGTGTGTCATGGTCCTAGCATCTCCGTTTGCTCAAACCTGTCATCAGAATAGTAGGAGTAGATAAGAGCCTTATGTCCATACTCTGTAACACAGGCATGCATTAGCATTGTTAATCAGATCCCTTTGCAAATACTTCTGTTTCTAGGAAGTTCCATGGAAAGCATAGCTGGTAGAGGGGCCTTGCTATTGAAAGCTGCAGCTGATAAAGGAAATACTGTGAGTTACTGCACTTTATAATTTCCCCAAATATTCTGAGTGTTTCTAGATAGCAGAAATGTTCAACGTGTATTGCTCTTTCTAGAACTTTGAAATTTTGACTCTTCTTGTTGTCACACTTTGGTATATTTGACTATTTCTACCATAATGGACAGTTTTTTTCTGGTAAGAATCACTTCAGATTTTTTTCTTCCACAGATGTCTCATTCTGGTTTGAGTCATAAGAAGCCAAAGAAATCGCAATGTTCCTTTGAAAATGCTTTCTCTGTTGGCTATGATAAGAGTCTCTTCAATTCGTTAATGCCACATCCTCAGGTGAAGACTTGCCATCATTGTGGTCTGTTTGGTGAGTGCCTTTTGTCCTGTAGTCTGTGACACATAGTACGTTTACCAGTGAAACCGGATCAGAAGGTTTGTTCAGAGGTGTCTTAAAATGGATCTATATTTTTATCTCTCAGATGAGAGTATAGTGACTGTTCAGAACATAGTTGGAGTTATGGAACTGACAAACAGAAGACAGCATCTCCTTAACCAAAAATGTGGGGTTTTTTTTCCTTCTTAAATATAGAAGCAATTTGAGACAACTGGGGCGGTAATGTCTGATAGCTATATGTGAATACAAATACCTATTTGTATGTGCCTAGAACTGTAGTGGAACAGTCTTGTAAAGCAGTTACTAAGTAATACACAGAGTCTGTATCTTAACAGCTGTTGTGTCTTCTGATATAGACGTTTGTTGTTTGGTTTTTTTTTTGTTTTGTTTTTTTGTTTGTTTTTTTTTTTTTTAGGATCCCTCAGATGTTCACAATGCAAGCAAATATACTATTGCTCAGTAGGCTGTCAGAAAAAAGATTGGCCTGCACATCGTGTTGTATGTGAGCCAGTTAAACAGAAGTAAGTTTCTTAAAAGTTCTGTCAAACAACCTTGACAGAAAGACAATATTCCTCACAATATAACTTAAATGACCACGTAAAGGTGCTGTTACAGTAGAATATGTTGCTTATTTTTAAGCTAGTACTGCATTGTTTTATACTTGTCAGAAAACTCAGCTCTGCTGCTTTAGAAGGGTGACTTGAAAGATTGTTGTTCTTAATGTGTTCTGTAGGGTGACTTAAAGCAAAAGCGTTATTTTTACATCTGTCAGAAATATGTGAGCATGCAGTAAGAATACCAGTTTATCACATGACTTTGTTATTGCTGTTCATGACGTAGGGAAGGGTGGAAAAAAATGAGACAGTGCTTTTCAGCATTGGAACGGTTAATGGATTGCATTTACCAGGCTCTGAAGAGGCAGCCTTTGAATCTTAACTGTAGCCTCAGTGAGCTCCATGGGTATTTTATCTTAGCACAGCTGCAATTAGAAGAAGTTGTCTCAGCCAGGCCATTCTCTAGCTGCTCATTACTGCTTTTTGACATGCCAGTTTGGATGTTCAAGAGATCACTTCCCGATCTGTTTCAATTAAAGTAAGCACCATTAGGTTATAACATGGTAGGAGTAGACTGGCTGGCTTTGGAAGAGTTTAGGGGAGTGATCCCAGCATTTAAGCTGACAATCTCTAGCAAGGAGTGATGATTGCAGTTCAGTGAATCTGCAACCAGGTGCCCATAATCAAAGTTTACAAGAGATTTTTTTTTTTTCCCCCACAAGTTTTTCTACAGGGACTGAATGGGGGGATACAGGGACAATCTGGCATATATATTATCTGGATATTATGTATTCAACTGAAATAGCAACTTTTTTTTTTTTTTTCAATTTTATATTTCTTAAGGTTGGTTTGGGATTACAGTGTTAGCAGAACTCAACAACAGCAGTGTAAGACTTATCTGTTTTAATAAAAAAGAAATATTTTTTTGGTGATAGCATCAGGAAAAATACACCAGATGTTGCATGACATGGAACTAACAAACTTGCAATTCTGCTCTCTTGGAGGAGGAATAAAGATTGTCAAAACCCACAGACTATGAACCACAGACTTTTTGTTGTGTTTGCAATTAGGTGTTATGATTGCTGCTTGTCTGTCTTTGGTTCTTCCAAATTAACATCTTTTTCTTTAATTACAGTGGAACTAATAACGATGAAGGCAAGTTACCTGCTAGAACTGAGAAGAGAGTTTCTTTTAAGGTATAGAATACAATTTTCAATGTCTTGAACGGATCTGCTATGAGCTAGTTGCAATATACTTAATTTAACCTACACAGGAAAGGAACAAGTTCCAAAGATTATAATCGTCTCATTTTAGAAAGATCCGTGCTTCAAATCAAAAGCTACTGGGAGAAGCAGTCAAAAATATGTTATTTCTAGAGTAACATCTTAGCAACACTATCAGACAACTTGTTTTTTGTTTGAAAAATTTGTGGAAAAGTTAAAAATGAAGACATGTATGAAGTTGCTAGAGAAGTATTTTAGGAAGAAAAAGATGTAGCTTGTCCACCAATAAATTCTGGTGTCTTTTTCTGAATAGATCATGAGCTCGGAGCCTTGTAAATTATCTTATAAATACATTTAATGTAGTATTGTTGTGGACAAGCATTTGTTTCTTCGCTGCAACAGGAATTAAAACATGGCATAGTTCTCCTTTGTGATGTTTTGAAGCCTCTCTTGATCTTAATTTAATTCAGAGATTTCCCATAGTCTTCCTGTGAACTGCAGGAGATCATTTTGCTGTCTTCACGGTTTCTTGGGATGATATTTATCAAAGCAAGTGTATGTGCATACCTCCAGCTAGCACTATGTTTGCACTTTACAAGAAAACTTTGCCATGCACTTCTTTGAAATAGGTTATTCACCTGTTTTAACTTTTTGAAGGAATTTGGCAAAGAGGCTTCATTTTGGTTCATGAGACTTTTGTTAGTTCATCCTGATAAGTTTCTGCTGTGGTGTACTTGTGACTGTATTCTAATAAAACTGATCAACTGATAGTGAAGGACCCTTATAGCAAGAGGATGTACAACATGAATAAACAATTTGTAGTCAACCTATTTTGAAATAACAGAAGGCTTTATTTTTCCCTGATTCATTTCCTGAAGCCCAGGTAAGTTCTGCAGAAGCAAAAAAGCTTATATTGCATATTGAACAGTATTTAATGTATTTTGCTATTGCAGTGAGATGTGTTTTTGTGGAAAATCTTCTAGAAGGATCTTTGTTGCAAGTAAACAATTTGGCAGTTGCAACAGTAATCTTGTGCATTGTCTGTGGTATGTTGGACCAAATGTGAAAGAGGTTTTCCCTAAGGATGTGTATGAAGTTATTTTTCTAATGTTTTTAGGATATCACAGACACAGATGGTATGCGTTAGGCATGTTATATTAAATGTTTAGACTTTTTTAAAAAATGGATTCCAGCAGTTAAAGCAGTAGCTGTAATTTACTCTGTGGTATTAAGGCTGTGGGGGAAGCAGGTGGAATTCAGTTCCTTTTATTTATGAGAGTATTAGAAGCAGGAAATACAGCTGAGTTGTTGTGTAAAACAGGTGTGGAAAGAAGAGGTGAATGTGTGACTTCAGCACTTGTTTGTCTGGTCAGTATAACTCTGTGATCATGTTTTAAGTTATTCTCAAGAGTAATACAGTCTGTAAGAAAGTTAGCAAAAGCACTTTTTTTACATGTTTCCTGAAATGATAAAAAGGTCTTTTTTTCATTTGTTACTACAAGGAGCTACAGGTGAACAGCTTCAGTTTAAACATAACTTGTAGCTGTCTTCAATAGGGTAATTCAACTTCTGTGGATTTTCCCAAGACAGAAGAGCACATCAAGAAAATAATGCTTTCAGATCTCCAGACTCTCAGGATCAAAAAAGCAATGGAAGTACAGGTACTTTTATTGTGGAAGAATCCTACAATGCTTTGTTAGGTTGCATTTGAAGCTTTGTTAAGCTTATATAGCTGTCACCGCAGCTCTTTGACTCATTTCTCTCCCATGTAAAATTCCTTAATTTTTTATAAAGATGACTAGATGTGGGTGGGTCTCGGGGAGAAAGTGAGGAAGATTATTTTTGTGAAGGTGAACATCCCTGGTTTTGTTCCATGCAGTTAATTGTTTTGAATCTAGAAATAAAAGAACAAAATCAGGTTTAGGGTGAAAAGCATTTATTGAAATGAACACTGTCCTGAATATTATACTGTTCTTGAATAATTATAATCTACTATGGCTTTTCTCTTTAGGGTACAGTAACAGAGTTCAAGAGCCCATGTGAATTTTATATACAGATGAGTTCTCCAGAAGTTTTAGACCAGATCAGTAAACTTTCTGTGAAACTGCAAGACTGTTATGCTAACACAGTTATTCAAGAGCAATATATTGCTGTCAAAGGGGAGGTGTGTGTTGCAAGGTGTACTTTGGATCAGGTAACGTCTGATTCTGTGTTGAGCTCATCATGTTTGCATGCTTTGCTTTTATGGCTCTACCAGTGAAGGCTGCTAATTGGAGATCCATTTATTGTGGTGGAATTGTGGTAGTAACTAGCTTTATAACATCTGGAACTCAGTTTTAAAGTACTGATTTCCTTCCCCCCCTATATTGATTATGGAAATGAAGAAAACATTCCGCTCTCCTGGGTTAAAGCTCTGCACAAAGACACTGAACTGTTGTTTCCTCCCTGTGTGAGTTCTATTTTCCTAACAGTAGTTGAGGTGTTTTAAATTAACAGCTCTGAAATGAGTGTAATTCATGTCTCAGTGTAACTGTCATTATCACAGTATTGTGTGTTCAGTGAAAGTGATGCATTAAAAACTGCTTTACTACACTAAGTTCACCTTCTGAAATGTTTCCTAGCTATTCCATGAGAGTGAGGAAGGGTGCCTGGATTTTTTTATTCCTAGTCCCAGAGTTCTTGGGTTCTGAGCTGATCCACATGTCCTTATATGCTAGAGGACAGAAGGGGAAACATTCTGCCTGCATGTTCTAATCTGGTTGTATGCAGTAGTGAAAATTTGCTTGTAGTTTGGGCAGGCTTTGTTTGGAGTAAAGACAGCTGTTGGTGTGAGTTTATTGCCATACTATGTGATGTCTTCAGTTACAACATAGATGGTCTAGCTTTAATCTGTGAGTTAAACTAGTATGTTTAACTACACACAAAGAAGAACAGAGAAGCAGTCTTTCAACCAGTGACAACTGTGACTAGCCAATATTGGAATAGTCTTCATAGCTTGTTTGTGTGCCTTTCTGCTGGGTCCATGAAAGACTTTGAGAGCTCTTTGAATCTTGGCTTAAAGCCTTCAGTGTCTGCTGAGGGCAAGTTAGAACATGCACCTGTGGTCAGATGTGATGTGAGATACAACCACGCCTTACATGAGACAGCATAAATAGTGGGAGAATCAGAGGAAATGCAGTTTACAGTTTTTGAACTTAATTTTCTAATTCTTAACTCTCTTGTGAAGAAGTTAGTTGAATTGATACACCTCAAATTCCAACAGCAGCTTTAACTTTTAAATGCAGGATGATACTTCTGAGGGTCTTAACTACTTAGTCACTTCTTCTACAGGGCAAATAACCCCCTATCCCCTCTTGTTCCAATTGTAATTCTTTCCAGGCCATTAAGTGTTCCTTTGCTAATTATGATCCAAAAGAAAAAGGATGGAGTGAAGACATGGACAACATTTCTTCGCAACTCATAGGAAAGCGCTGTTCAGTAACTATTGTTGACATATTACAGGAGGAAATGATGTTGAATTTTGCTGTAGATGTTGTTGTTCCTGATTTTGGTAAGTACTTGGTAGTGTATATGGGGAAAAAAACCCCAACACAGTTGATAACTCTTTCATGTTTGCTTTCACTACCCCTGCCCAGTACCTTTAAAAGAGGAGTAGTTTTTCTTTTGTTCCCTCCCTTTTGTACCTCTCCCAACCTGCCCCTTGATTTTTTTTGTTTTAATTTTCTTTTATTTCACCTTTCCATATAGAGGTCACTGTACCTGAAATATCTTGTTATGCTTAATAACCTTAAGTTTTAGTAAGTTACTTATTCAGTAGAATTGTAATAAATACAGTGTTTTCCACATTATCTTGTTTATTTTTCTGTTTTAATAGATGCATTCAGATTTCGGACCATCTTGTGCATTTTTAACTCTTTAAAAATGATAGTATCAGTTTGTAGATTTGCTGAGGATTTTACCAGCTTCTATTTTGTACATGCTCACTAAAAAAGTATCTCAAAGAAAGTGCCACCACTGGGTATTGTTGTATCTAGTTGGAGAACTCTTAAGCATGTCTACATTTCTAATTTAGCAAGTCTCAGCAGAAAGAGGCAAGCAGGGCACTTCACCTTTGAGGGGTGTGAATTCAGATTTTCAGTTGAGCAGGAGGAGTGGCTTTGTGGAACCAGATCAATACACCGAAGGTAGTGTGCTTGTTGTCATTATTTGGAGGGCTCTTTTGTTTGTGTGTTTTTTCTGGCTGCAGAGCAAGAACAACATAGTGATAAGAGCATATTCTTCTCAGTGATACCACACAGAAGCTTTGAAGGAAGTGATGTTTGATTCTTTTAGCTTGTTAAGCTGCCGGCACATCAGGAATTTTATCTTCATAGTCCCTGCAATCTATAAAATGATGGTTTACCTTAGTCCTGTGTAATTCAACTGATTCTGGGCTATGCTGGGTATATTTCACACTTGGTTGCTTTACAGCATGATAATGGCAAAGCAATATAACTTGCCAACCTCTTGGAGAGAAGATGATCACAAAAATATCACTGCATTCATGAAATGTTCCATGCATCTATTCTGTGATTTTACAAGCAACTTAAACACCTGTATTTGGGTTTTCAGTTGAAAATAATTACATTGAAAGCTTGGAACACTGTTTCATGCATTGGAAAGGGAATACGTAATAGCCAAAAACCTCAAGTTTTCTTTGTAAATCTTGGTAAATCATTGGATACTTAGTGTTATAAACATGTAGGTAAGTTATGAATCCTTGTGTTTGAAAAGGTGTAATCAGTTTTTCAGCCAACAGTCTTTAGTGACTGAGTAAATGTTGGTTGTTACTGCTTTGCTCATTTCATTTCGTCTAACAGTCTTGGATCTGTGAATGTCTTCAGAAAACTCAAGTAGACTCTGAAGCTACTTCTATTTTGCAGATTAAGCACTCAACAAATAAGTAGAACATGCTTACCTTGTGATAGGGATGTAGGTTAGGCTCAGAAGATGGTTCTGAAATGAAACTAAATGATGACTGTCTTGTATGGTAAAAAACTTAGTTTCTTACATCTGTATTTAAGGACACTGCCTAGATAAAGTACCTTTAGAAACTGGGTCTGATTTAACTCCAGGAAGTAATGCCAAAGGAGCAGACTGTCCAGAAGGTAAGCAAGCAAATCAAACTTCTTGGTAAGAGACAGAAAAAACACGAATTTTAGGTCCTCCCATATTGGAGGATATTTTGAATGTAGTAAATACTCCAGCTGTTCACCAGCATCACCTCCTACTTAAAAACATTGGGTAGTGGAGCTTTCTTCTGTTCACTAGTGACAGTAGCATATGTACTTTATACTATTAAAAAGCATTTGTTAGTGATGATTATATTGGCATTGATTTAATGGATAATATGACAGGAGCCTTCGAAGTCCAAAGAGTCAGCAAAAAGAATAAACTACTTCAGCATGTTTAAATTTTCAGAGTCGTCTAGCTTTTGATCAACAACTTTTTTCTTTTTTTAATGTACAGTGTCAGAAAACCATTCTAAAGGAAGTAAAGAAAAAATACCTGAAGATGAAGAATTTCTTTACTTTGGTAATTCAGTTGCAGTTTGTGTCTCCGTATGTATTGGAGATGTATTTTCTGGTGTGGTTTCCAGCGTTCAAAACCCAGAAAACTTTTTCTGTCAGCAGATGCACAGTGCCCGTAAGTGACACGTTGAAAGTGGGATGTAAGATATCTAGCATGGCTTTTTTCCTCTTCTGTAGAGAGTGGCCAGAGGGAGGTGTTGCTGGTCTTGTAGTTTGACCTGAAATGGTAATTCCCTTGTAGCTTTAGGCCATGCCTTAGTCACTTAACAGTTGTGGTGGTGTAGAGGGTATTTTTGGCAGTGTTAGCTGTTAATATTGCTTACTAACTTGTAAGGTGATAATTTGTGGGCAGTCTGAGTAGCACAAAGTAGAAAAATTGTGGCATGGATTTTAGCAATCTGAAGTCAATTTGTATCATAAATATTTAATGTTAAATATGTTCTCTTGCATGTTCCAGAAATGTGTGTAAGTTTCTAATTACTGTGTTTATTCCTATAATGCCTTGTTGCTCTACCACTGTTGGGAAGTGTTTCCTTGTAGGCTGGGTGTGTGAACTGAACATATTTGTTACGCAGTATGGGGAGAACATCCAAATAGGAGAAGTCCAGATAATAGTGCCCAAACCATGCTTTGGTGTCTTCTGATACAGTAAAATGTGAGACTGTAAGTAACACAGTATGGGCTGGAGTGCTAGGCTGCAGGGACTTCTGTGCATTGCTTGCAGTGCCCATGGACAGATGACTGGGGGACAATAAGAGGAGAGTATGTTTGTGGAATGTGTCCTCTTGGTGCTGTCCCAGCCATCATTTTCCTTCAGCTAAAAGGGCTCTTGCACCTGGATGTGATCTGATGTATCTCCTACAGTGGATTTGTGTTTTGTGCACTTGTGCGGCCTTTGAATTCCGGGTAGACTCAGCATAGCGTGTCCTTTGGCCAGAAGTGGCACTTGCCATCTGCCTGTAGTTTGAAGAGCTGTCTTCCTTGGTTTCTTTCTAGCATGCCTCCACTAGCTTGCTGTCAATTCCTACTGGCTTCAGTTTTGTTCTTGTGTTGAAAAAGTCTGTGACTGGTTTTCCCTGTCCATTCTTTACCACTGTGATTCCTCACACTGATTTGAAGACTCTGATTTTACTGATTGAAGAGTCCCAGTCTCATCACTATTTTAGTATCATGTTAAACATTATGGGAAATAATCTCCATTATACTTCAAGATGTTCTTCCAGGCTTTGAATTTAAGATTTGTTTACTTTTGTAATGATTACAAGACAGTGCATGTTCCAAAACCTGTGTATTTTAACATCAGGTCAACTTGCTGAGCTTCAGGTGTCTCTTAATGACCATTGTGGCAAATCTCCCAGTAGTCCAGCTTTCCATCCTACTGCTGGAAATGTGTGCTGTGCCCAGTTCACAGGTAAAAATGGAGTGAAAATATAGCTTTTAATTTATGTCATTTTATCACAAAAAATAATGCATTTTATAATTATGTTTAGAAGTGTTTCGTATAAAGTTTATTTGGTTTTAGCTGTGGATAGCATTTGGTAGTGGTGATTTTTAAAAATTATTAATAGCAAATGTCATCTATAAAATACTAGTTTAAATGCAGTCGCATGGTCCCTTCACTGAGCAAACTCTTAACGTTGGGTTCATTTGGGAGCTTTTTAAGAGACCATGAAGAAGTTTGGGTTTTTACATGTTGGTGAGCACTATTTCCTGTGGCTGGAAATAAATACAGACTTGAAATTTTAGACCCCCAAAAAGGGACAGAAGAAATGGGATTTTATGTAACAGTGCTACTCGGACAACTTCTCAAAACGTTATTTAGCCAAGACTTGGTAGTCTTGAATTTTATGTTCATAACTTGGTATCCAACTCATGACAAAATTGAATCTTGCCTAAACATAGGCTAGTATTCTGCATAAAGCAGTATTTTGTGCTAGGAATTAGTCAGTCTATTAGAAAAAAATAAATTTTATTTATTAGAATCTAAAGCCCTGTTTCCTGGAGTGCAGTAGGATGAAGATGAATCTTTTCCTTATAGATAATTACCCTTTTAATCTAGCTTTTAACAAGGAAAAAAACTCTACATGTTGCTGTTCTTACGTATTTTTCTGGTCAGCAATGTTGCTGCTATAACTTATTTATGTAATTGATAAACAGTCCTGGTCATTTATTTCTTTACATTTCCTGTGGCTTTGCTGTTTTTTTTAGCTGTGGGACTGAACAGATAAACCAAAATAAATGCTTTTTTGCACATTCAAAAAACCGTAGTGCTGCCAGTAAGCTGTTTTGGCCTTTAAATGGGCACTGGTTTCAGGTGCCTGGTTAGGGAAAGCTCTCAGTTCAGTACCTCGTATTTCTATTTCTCAAATACTTTAATAGAATTAAAATAATGAAATTAGATCCGTTGTGTGGCTTTTGAATTGCATGTCATTGTGGTCAGTTGAGATGCTGTTTGTTTAAATGTATTGAACTTAGGCACTACATCCACATGAGGTAGTCAGTTCTTTGTTGCGATATGTATTTGTGAGGTGGAGGGGTCTTCACAGAAAGAATGAGTTTGCAACACTCAACTCATACGAGGAGTGATGGTGGTGGATGTTGTGTCCATAAGGGTTTTGTGAAAGTTTGTGTGAACTGTAGTGCTGCTGGTTTATATTGAGAATGACATTGTATTTTTATATTGGTTTGCCCCAGAAATCATTCTGTTCTTGGAAGTTTAAAAGCAAGTACAATGAACATCTGTATCTTCCTTTCTAGAAGACAATCTTTGGTATCGTGCTGCTGTTATACAGTGTGTTTCTGAAGATGCTGTTTTGGTAGGCTATATAGATTACGGTAATTTTGAAGTTCTTCCACTGACTAGACTTCGTCCTGTGATTCCAAGGTTAATGGACTTGCCAGCTCAAGCCATAAGATGTACTTTGGCAGGTATGAAATAAATTATAAGCTGTTTTAAACTGGATAGAGGTGAAATACGTAGGGATAGATAACAATCACACCTGTAGTATCTTATATAGAAATATGGGGAAGGATGGAGATAACAGTAGGTGTTACTTCCAGAATTCTTAATTGTTATGGCATATCTACAAAACATTCCAAGTCTTTCCGGATGTACTTGGTGACCTGTTAGGTTTTTCATGTGCTTTTATTCTAAGCAAATTTCAGTCACCTACTAGCTTTGTGGAGTTACTAAATCTGTTGTGGTTCTAACACTGCAGGGGAAGGGAGGGTAAAACTTCATTTTACGTATTGAAATTTTGAACTGTATTTCTTCTCCTTCCCTGGGGCAAATCTAGTGAAACTACTGATAGACTCCTCTCCATAAGCTTGTGAAATCTGTCAAGTTGGAAAGGACATTGACACTTCCTAGTTCATCCTTCTCTCTCAAGCCAGGTTCTTACTGTTTTTTTGATGTTTGACTTGTTTAACCTGCTCTTGGAAATTGTTTATTTTCTGTTTGTTCCCATCACTGTGTTAGATAGTCCACCCCTTTGCTTCAGTAGCCATTCTTTAGAATACTTCATGTCTATCCTTCCTTTACAATACTTGATATTTAACCTGATTTTCAAATTTTAGATAAAGAGCGACATTCTAGCTTCTTTGGAGGAAAACAATGCTTTCCTTGTATGTAAAGATGAAACTGATGCATGTGGAATATGACCTACAGAAATATCTTTATGATGCTCATAGCTGATAATGAGTGTTCTGAGACTAAGAAAGGTCCTAAACATAACATGGACACAAAAAAGTGATCAAATAAGATGTTTCATGATTGCAGTCAAGGATTACTGCTGCATAGAATACATCTTTCTGGAAGGCAATTTCTGCCAATTTGTTGCTATAAAATTCTGGTTATAACTTGCATTTTAGAAATAAATTTAGTATCATGAAGAGTAAATGTTAAAGGAGGAAGAAGCTTATAGTAGCAGATACATTGGCTGAGAGATGGTTGAAGTTGTCTAAAACCATAGATTGTATTCATGAGACCCAAAGACTGACCCTTACAGACATTCATACTAGGGAAGTATTAAAGCTGAATTTATGCATCTCTTTGTGTAATAGACTAGTTGTATATTATTTTTGTCAGATTTTCATTAAATCAAAGTACTATGAAAGTTCAGAATCTAAATTGAGTTTGGAATGTTGTTACAAGCATGAAGAGTGGAGGTGAGTTACATGGTGTATCCACTGCTTAATCTATTTTTTCTTAGACAGTGGTATTGTACCTTTCCACATACTGTTGAGGACTGTCCTCACATCCTTTCCATATTATGTGACTTTTCAGGTGTAAAGCCACTGTCAGGAGCCTGGACCTCAAAAGCTATTTCTTTTATGAACCAACTGGTGAAAGACAAAGTGCTCACAGTAAAAGTAATGGATAAAGAGAGTGATAGATCTGTGGTGGAGCTTGTAGATGCATCAGTTACTCCTGTAATAAATATATCAAGCCACCTCAGAGAGAAAGGCTTTGCGGCTGAGAAATCAAGGATGGCTTTACCAGCAATTGGAATGAGTGATGTTAAGCCAGCAAATGGTGAGTATGAGCACATCCTGCTGATCTGGCACTATTAAACCTCTTACTTTAGAGACAAAGAATGCAGGCTCTTAACTGGTAAGAACTCTGCAGTCTAGCTCATGAAGTCTGGCCTTTGCAGCTCTGAAGTTTAGCCGTGGCACCTTTCCCATGAAGAAATTGTGTGTCCGTGTGTATATATATGTGTGCAAGCATAAAAAAGTTGCAATTGCTTACTATTGGAAGACCAGATGACTATTTCACTTCCTATGGTTAGAATTCTTAGGATTTCCAGTTGAAGCAGGATATGACTAGTTAGTACTTGCTTGTTCTTATGGCCTTGTCCTTTATCTCAAATAGTATTTCATCTTCATTGTTCTATATTTTACATCAATACACACATATTTCATCCTTGAAAATCTGTTTAACTGCAGTAGCCTATACAATTTCAAGGCTGTGCCTAAATTGCCTTTTTTTGCATTTAGTGACCAAAACTTCGATTTGAGAGATTTTCAGATTTTATGTCAGATTGCTTTGTATTGTGGGGAGTTTCCTAGCTTCTCTTTACAAAGTATGATAAGCCCCTCTTTCCCATCCTGTAACTGGCAAAACTATATATTGTCTCCTGATCAGGCTATACTAACAACTGGGGGAAGTATTTTTGTCAAGATGATGTCCAAATCCCTTAATTTTGATCTTCTTCCACTAGATGCTTTGTGGCCAGGATATGGTCATTACTTACCTTTGTTCAGAAGGGTAAGGAATCTTGTATAAAATTCAAATGAATGGTAACTTTAATGGTTATATCTAAACATGTTATGATCTATGGCTATCTTCCTGACATGTTTTGTACTTCATAGTTTCTGGGTTACTTCTCACCTTTTTTTAGTTTCTCACACCAAGTGGAAGCTTTTGAATGCAGGTTCTAAACAGATTGTCAACTTTTGTTTTGCTTGTTTTAAAACTTGTGGGGTTATATTAGAATTTTAACAGGTACATGTCTGTCAACTTGCAAAATAATTTTTTCATTAATTTGTTTCCCTTATTTAAACTTAGTAATTAAATCTCTGATTGTTGGATCCAGCATAGTGTAAATGCAGATTTTAGTTAACTCCCCAGAAATTAAGAAACAATGTATCTTTTGGTTTAGAGAACTACTTAGAGGAAATTTCACCATCACATGAAAGAATAAACAATTGTATTTCACAGTTGTTAAGCATCGTAAAGCTTTCTTTAAATTTGAGCCATTTGTTAAGTTTTAGTGTTCTTTTTAATCTGTCTTCCTTCTGGAAGGTTCTACTTTTTTGAGCATATTTCTCAAAATATGCTGGCTGTGCTTTGTTGCTTCAAGTAGGGATCTGACAGTTGCTTACAGTGTAAAGGACAGTCTTGTATGCCACTGAAAATAAAGAAGATTTGAGAGCCTGTTTAGATTTTTTTTGTTGTTGTGTTTTGGGGAAGTGTGGGGTTTTGTGGAGTTTTTTTTCTTTGCCTGTTGGAAGTATGACTTCATAAAGTAATCTATTGTCAGACACAATACTGGGCAGATGGAGCAGCACCTCAGCATGGCCATCCCTGAAGCTCAAAATTTTCTTGAGCTTCATTTTCATGAAGTAAAACAAACACTTAAATGGGAAAGGTCTGCCGAAGTTGGAGTCCACCCACTTGGGCTCAAGCCTTAAAAAGGCTGATAGTATTTCTGCATGCTGCTGTCTACCAAAAATGGTAACAAACTTAATAGCTATGAAGAATAAAGGAAGATTTAATAATATGCTAATGGAAGAAACAATGGCTTCTCTGATGTGCCATAACTTAGTTTTCACATGATCTATTCCACAACTTGTGTTTTCCAGGTACTTGAATATGATATACAGTGCAAACTTCTGCAACCAGTCTTTCTATTAATCTTTTTGTTCTTTCTCCTCCTTAGACCATTTCCAGTACTCTGTGACAGCTGTTTCCCTCTTCTATGCCCCTACTCTGTTTCCCAGCCAAGGTTCCCCAGGGTCCCTCTTGCTCAGGTTATTTCCACCTGTTCTGTACCTCATTGTGATTATTCTTCCCTGGTCATCGACAGCTTGACCTTCTCAGGACTGATCAGATACATTAACCAACAGGCACATTTTTCTTGCTTTTATTTTGCAGAGGCTCTCACTGATAATTAGTCTGTTGGATTATTTATAACAAAAAATTTGAGGACATGAATGAGTGTTCAGGTTGTATAATTTTTGTTCCTGTAAAAGTTATTTTAATTTCTCTTTCTTCCTCTACTTCTTTCTTCTCTGTTCTCTCTAGAGTACACAGCTAACAAAAAAATTTACAAGTGGAGTAAATTAACTCTTAAACAAACAGTAGATGTCATAGTGTGTGAACTGTACAATCCTGGAGAATTCTACTGTCAGATTTCAAATAACAGTGGTATGTTTATTCAGTTTTTTTCTTTCTGCTGTTTTTTTTTGCTTCCATTTTTCAAATAGTTTTTCATTTATTATAGTTCTAATGCATTACTGCTTCAAGTGAGTTTATAGCACCAAGGCTTACCTCTGAGGTTTTTTATCTAAGAATACATGTGGAATGATGAAGAAATTGGATTATGGTATGTAGTGACTCTGAAATTGAAATCTGAAAATGTTGAAGGTAAATCAGTTGAATAAAACTTAAACTAAGAATGTAAAGGAAAGTGAAAAGAGGTACCATAACCTAGGCAAAAGATATCCAAACAAAAGATAGCAAATATGAGACATATTCTTTGTGCCCATACTTACTGGAGCTCTCTTCTAGTCCTGTTCTAATTTATAAAAACTTAAAAAGATTCAAAAGGGATAAAATGACATGAAAATTAGAAAAAGCAGCTTTTGACACTTGATTTCCCCTTGGATAAGTTAAAAAAAATATTTTTCCTTGCAACTATAAGGGCTTCTGATACCTAACCGCTTTTTAACCTACTAGAAAAAGAGCATGATGCAATTCAGTGGATGGAAGTGGAAGCTAAATTCATTCAAAACAGAAGTATAGGGCAGATCTTAAAAAGTGAGGGAAGCTTATTTCTTGACTTATATAGGGATAATACCGATTCTTTGTAGTTTAGTGCCTTTAAAACATGACTGAATTCCTCCCTAAAAGTAATGTTATAGAGCAAGCTAAAGGACTTGATATTAGAAAAGCCAAACAATGAGGATGAGATCCCATAATCCGTCATATGTACTGTCTGAACTAGATAATTCCCATAATGTCATCTGGCTGCAAAATATACTTTAGATTTAGGAGTGAAAGGGTCCTTCTTGGATTAGCAGGAAGAATTACTGGTCATTTTGTTGTTACACTGAACTAATTTGTCAGTAAATATCAGCTGTCTCGCATCTTCCTGCTAATAATAAGTCTGTTTAATTTAAAACTATTTAACTCAGTGTCAACAGTTCTTTTTTTAAGAAATTCTGAAATTCCCCAAAATCTCCCATCGAACCTTTAGTAACCAAGCTATGCATGAACAGTATGAATAAAGTTCAAGTCAGCTTGTTTTGTTGATTTTGTCTTTGGATTTTTTCTTTATAATTTTCAGAATTACTTGCTCTAAACTTACTTAACAAATCATTGTCTGCATACTGTCAGAAAACGCCACCAAACGTTTTTAAGCCTGTGAATGAAGAACCTTGCTGTGCTTTTTTCTCTGGTAAGTACCAGGCTAAAATATTTTTGCCTTTATGGGGTGAACATAAAAACATAAAAAAACAAGGATAGCGAAGAATTGGATTTCTTTACTAAAAGATAAATGCTGGTAAACTTATTAAATGTGTGAAGTAATTTTTAAAACTTTTTTAAAATTAGATGATGGTAACTGGTACCGTGCTTTGGTGAAAAATGTTACTTCAGATGGAACTGTCAGGGTATGCTTTGTGGACTATGGAAACGTTGAGGAAGTACCACTGGATAAAATACGGCAGATCTCATCCTCGTTCCTAAAACTTCCATTTCAAGGAATTAAATGCTGGCTCTCAGGTGGATCTTCTTATGAATTCTTTGTCTTATAAGGGCTGTTGTGTTTAGAGACTTCCTGCTTTGGGAGGAGGTGATGATGACCGGGTATACTTCACAGAACTCTGGTTTTGGGGGTTTTTTAAATTCCTTTTGGTTTTGTTATATCTGTTGCTTTCAGCCTCTAGAAATTGGAGGAGCCATTGTTTTATCCTTACTACACAGCAGACTGGAATTTAACAGAAAGATGGTGGCTCTTCCTAAAGCTCCTGACAGTGCTGGGGAGTGATCTGCATGGAGGTTACTGATTTACCAGTGAAAAGGAACTTGGTTTAGCTCTGCTTCATCTGTAGGGCTTACTAGCTTTTGGTTGCTGTCTTGTTAAGAGTAAGTGTGCTCTTGTGCAACTTATTTCTCAAAATTTTTGCAGGCAAAGGAGTTAATCTTTTTTTATGAAGCAAGCTGGCCTTTCAGTTCTCTGTAAGAATGTTTCATCTAATTGCTGCAGAGTTTGGCACTGTATTGCTGTTTCACAGTCTTCTACCAATTCTCTGCCCCTTTCTTTTCCACACCAAATCACTCAAAATTTTACAGAATTATTTTTTCTTTCTAATGTAGTTTACTTAATTTAAAATTGAAAATGTGGAAACAGGAAAAAAACCCCTCAAATCCACATTTCCTCAAGGTGTTTTTTCCTCAAGGTCTGGTGTTTTTTTGGTCTCTTTAAGCACTTAGGTTTTTTCCTCCTTTGATAAAAAAGGCTATATTAAACTGATTCATAAACAGCCTCAACAGTGTTGTTTGTGCTAAGGTATAAGGATTTACTTGTTAGAATATCATAAAATGTAGGAAACAAAACTTGGAAGTGCTGAGGAAATGTGTTCTTTTAGAAGAAGGGAGGAAGATGGGAACCAGTTAACAGGATGAAGTACAGTGTGTATTCTGAAGGTAGTAAAAATAGCCTTGGTATTTGAAGTTGTGCTTTAAAAAAAGGTATTTTTTTTAGGGGAAAATACAATGTTGAAAGTCACTTAATGGAGGTATTTTGAACAGTTCTCCTGCTTCCTAGGTATAAAGCCTGGTAGTAGCAAATGGATTCCAGAAGCTACAGCAAGATTTCGTATGTACGCTGCAGGAAAAAAGCTTCAAGCCAGAGTAACTTCCCTTTCCAGGGATGGAGCAGGTGTAGAGCTTATTGACAATTCCACAGGTCATCCAAAAGTGATTAATAAGATACTAACTTATGAAAAATTGGCTGTAAAGGAAGTTCTGCAAGATGAAAGTAACTTTCCTGACAAGTCTGACGAAAAAGGTAATTAAATGAATGTTAGCTTTTGGATTGAACAAGAATTTTCAGTATTCAAGCCTTTAACTGTGATCTTGCTTTTTAACTATAGTTACTATCGATAATAAACGTGTGTAGTTTTGGTTATATTGTCAGTTTTTACTGACCAGCGTATATTATCAGTGTTAAACACAACTGTCCTGAAGGTGGCATTGTAGACAAAAAGAGAGGGATAAAAATCGCTGGTTTTGTCTTAAATGAATGCTATTTGAATATTTGATAGTAGAGAGTTACAAATTTGCTACAATTTAAATTGTCCCATGTTTATTTTCTAATACCTTGTTTTTCTGAGGTGTTTTTTACTTCAGCTACTTTTTGCTGTTCATTAATAGCTTATAATTAAGCAAGAAATGTTTTGGTTTAGATTTCTCGAAGACATGCTGTTGTCTCAAATTCAAAAATATGTTGTAGCAGTTACTTAGAATATGTATGTGTTTGGAGGTAGGTGGTACACTGCATTTTCTTACTGTTTCTTGTAGAAACTTCACTTGCAAACTGGAAGTTGATTGAACTGGCTATAGATGAAACCATATTTGTCTGTGTAACAGAAGTTGTAAGCCCAGACTTGTTCTATGCTGTACCGGTTCAAATTAAAAGTAAGAAAAAGTGTTTACTGTTCCTAATAATCAGTAAGAAGTAACTGCTGCAAGCTAGTTAATAAAATGAATGCCTGAGGCAAACTGAACCATGTGGAAATGTAGCTCAGATGAAAATATAAAAAAATTCTGAAGTTGGGAACAGGGAAGCTGAAAAGTAAGTATGCTTTTCATTATACCCAAATGTGGTTAGTTATCAGATGTTTTTTTCTGTAGATCAAGAGAAACTACACAGGCAGTTTATTGAACTAGACAGCTATTGTAAATCTTGTGAGAATCGGCCCTTCAAACCAAAACTGGGTGAAGCCTGTTGTGCCAGGTTTTCAGGTGAGACGATTGTTTGCTCCTATATTTCCTTGACCAGTGTAACACACAACTTCCACTTTTGCTTCAGAAAAAGGAAAACAGCCAACTTTAAAGTGCTTACAGATCTCTTAATTCAGTTACAAAGGATAGGCTGGCTGCATCTTCAGGGCAAAGAAACTGACAGTCTGGAAAAGAAAATAGGGAATATGTTATGCCCTGCAAAATGTATGGAGCTTTAAGAGGAAAGAAACCTTGTTACTGTTAAAACTGAAATTTGTTGTGTTTGAGTCACAGTGGCATCACAGTGGGAAAGCAGTAGTGCACTTGCATCTATACAGACTCACTTCTGTTTTGTGGGTGGTTTTTTGTTGTTGCTTTGTGCAAGCATGGGGCAGTTGACACTGGCTATGAAGACTGATCATTCAGTCTTGTGATCTGAACAAGTTGTAAAGGCTTAGCAAACAGTTCAAGTCAAAAGTATTTTTAACAGTGAGAGGACTTAACTTATTGTCTTAGTCTTTCAGAAGAGGGGATACTCTGCTGATTACATTAGCTCTACTTAAAAAAAAGTGTTGATTCATATTAAATGTTGACTGCACATGGATTGTTACAGGAGATCTGGCTGAGCACCGAAAATGAACTTGGGTGCTAGATCAGATAACAGCTCACAGAAAACAGGATAGATGAATTTAAAAAATACTAGGCCGACCACAAGAGTGTACCTAAGTGTTTGACAGTTGTTTTTAACTTCCACTGATTTTGTTGTTGTTGTTGTTGTTGTTGTTGTTGTTTATGGCTCTTCAGGGTAATTGAGGAAAAAGGTTTGGGGTTGTTTTTTCTTTTTAATTTTGGTTATGTTTTGAGAGGCAATATGCATTGAGAAACAAAGGTATGGAGCTAGAAATACAGTGTGTAGACATCCTTAAAAGAATATTGTAATTAAAATATTTTCTGCATAATTTGAGCAAAATTCTGAAAGCAACACTTTACAAATACAGCAATTGGTAACTATTCCCTTGTTCTCTGGGCTTGCTTCTTGTCAAGTGGCCTTTTGTATATACCAGAGTATTTAAAAATTCCTGGAAAACTATACAGATTCTTAATCTCTGGGTGAGCTGTTTATAAGATGGTGCTTCACAGGTGATTCTTCTTGTCCCAATCTTTTCAGGTGATGGCCATTGGTACAGAGCTCTTGTTCTACAAATTTACCAGTCTGTAGTGAAAGTACTATATGTAGATTATGGGAACACAGAAACTTTACCACTTTCAGAGGTGCTGCCAATCACTGATTCCTACTTAAAGCTGCCTTTCCAGACAATTATGTGTTCACTTGCAGGTAAAAAAAGTCCCAAACAACCAGAAAAACCACCCTGAAAAAACTGTGATGACTTTCTTGAACATTATAAATATGTACCTGTTCTGATCATAGTGTTCATTCCCTAATACTGAGAAACAACACGATGATCTGCTGAAATAGTATACTGGTTAATACTGTGAAAGCTGTTCTAGTTAATTATCTGTAGAATCTAAGCTATTTACATTAGGAAAATTTAGCATCATATTTTCAAAAACAGCGATAGCATTATGTTTAAGTTTCAAGTCATATCATGTAGGAATTCTTCACAGAATAAACTTGACTGTACTTTTTTTTCCAGGAATAAAGAAAGCAGAGTGGACTCCATTATTACTTGACAAGATGAGAGTAATGTTATTGAATAAATACTTCACAATTACGGTGAAAGGGATTAACGGAAAAGTTAATTTGGTAACAGTGGAGGAACCTTGTGTAAATGGTAATCTGAATGTGGTTGACAAACTGGTAGTGGAAGGTTTGGTCAAATCCTGCAGTGCTGAAAACTTACATACTGACCATCAAGGTACATACTTTTACTTCATTATTTCAAATTACTTAATTTGAAGAACTGCAGGCATGTGGGATGCCTAAGTGACTTTTCCTTCTAAAAGTCTTGGAGAATTCCACATGCTACCTCTTAAATTAGGGAAGCGGTGTCCATGTGTATTTTGCTCATTCACTTGCTTTGTTTTTTCTAGGCAGTGGAGTTGAAGCCAAATGCTGCTGCTCAGAATTAAAAATGCAAGTAAGATTCAGTTCCAACCAATACTTGCTTTATTTATATTTCCAGAATTTAAAGAAAGTCTACGTGGGGAGAAAATAGGAGTAGGGAGATAATGACTAACCAAAACATTGAAGATACACAAAGTGAATATCCCAACAGTTTTTCTCAGTTTTTGTACATGGTAATAATTAGAGCACCCTGAAATTGGGGAAGGGTAGTGTATAGATCACACAGACATCATTAGTCTGTTTTGCCACACTTACAGCTTTTTTTTTTTTTTCCTCTAGAGTATGAAGGCTCATGAGTGTTACTTTTGTCTGTTATGTAAAGGTAGTTGCTGTGTTTTGTATACCTGTCATTTGGACAAAGGGTGGCTGGATTTTTTTCAGTAATGTGGTGTTTTGCTGTGGGTACAGCTATAACTTGGCAGACAGCTGCATGTGTAAGAAAAATCTGTACAATGTGTATTTCAGGTAGCAGAGATTAATACGTGCCACAGTTGCAGTCACAGAGCTAGGGCTGAGAACTGGAGTTCAGTAGAATACTGGAATTTGTAATGGTGTTTACCCATTGCAAGATTACTTTTTTCCTTTGAAAAAAAAAAAAGCTCTTACAGATCTGGCATATTCCTGTAATTTTTGAAAGCTTTCTAGTTTTAAGCTTCCTATTTTTTTTTTTAATTTCAGTTTAAGCTATTTATGAAAAATTTAGAACTTTGAATTACTAAAAGTAATTTTAAGTATAATAGAAAAGATGCATCAGTCTTTCTCAAAGTGAGGGTCTTTGTCAGAGGAATGAGCAAAATTTTTAATTTTGAAGACAGAAACCCCTTTCATGGGCTCCAAACACCTTTCAAAGCACAAAAAGAGCCAGAGGCAGCAAGGTGAAAAGCAAAATATGCACTATGATATTATGGAGGTAGGAAAAGAGCATTTATGTTCAAGGTCAGTTAGACCTTAACTGCTTCAGAGTAAGCATAGTTACCAGGAGTTTAGTGGTAGAAAGGCAGTAAAACAAAGCTGTTCCTGTATGTAGTTGATTTCTCTGTCCCACTGTAGACTGAGCTCATTTTCCCTTCCCCTCTGTATCTCTTTGATTTTCCAGTTTGATCTATCTAATGTCTTTTCTGACTTCAATTTGGTCACTTTCTGTTTTGTTATCCTCCCTTACTCCCATAAGTTTGGCTCAAAGTCTCATGACAGAGGAAGACAAGACAGAAGATTCCAATATAACAGAAAACATCAGGAAATAGACATGTGTGAATAACCAAATTTAAGGTCCTGATCTCATAATTTGAGTATTGCATTAATTTGGTTTGAAACTGCTTTTTCAGCGGAAAAAAAAAAAAAAAGAGGGGGGGGGGAAGAAGAAAGAAAGAAGAAGAAAGAAAGAAGAAGAAAGAAAGAAGAAGAAAGAAAGAAGAAGAAAGAAAGAAGAAGAAAGAAGAAGAAAGAAAGAAGAAGAAAGAAA